CCTCATTACATTCTGATTAGCAAACTAGCAAGGTGTGGGCTGGATAGAACAACTGTCAAGTGGATACATAATTGGTTACAAATTGTACTCAGAGTACTCAATGGCTTCCTCTCAAAGACTCAGGAGGTAACAAGCAGGATATCAGAAAGCTCAGTCCTGGGTCCAGTGCTCTTCAACATTTTTATTAATGGATTTGATGAGGGGGTGGGGAGGATGCTTATCAAGTTTGTGGAATAGCTAATACCCTGGAAGACAGAAACAAAATTCAAAACAATCTTGATACAGTGGGGTCTCGACCTATGGAATTAATCCGTATTGGAACGGAATCCGTAGGTTGAAAAGTCCGTACCCATAGGAATGCATTGAAAACCATTCGTATCTGCCCCAAGAAACCTCCCCCCACAAAAAATTAAAAATTTTAAAAATCACCTTACCTTTTTGAAGTCTTCAAGGGGTCCCCTGCCGCTGCCATCGCTGCTGTTGGAGGACTCTGAGGGCTTCAGCGCAGCTGCCAGAGGCCTCTCGGGGGTCCCCGCCGCTGTCGATAGTGCTTTGGAGCCACTATCAGCGGTGGGGGACATCCAGGAGGCCTCCCATGGTGGTGGGGAAGGCCTACAGAGGTCCCTCGCTGCCACCGGCGGGAGCCGTGCCGTGCCCAGATATCCCAGCCATGGTTGGACTCCCGGGAGTCCAACCATGGCTGGGGTTGCCCGCTGCTGCGCGGCTCCAAGCGGCAGTGGCACCAGGGTGGGTGGGGGCTCCGGATGCCTTCCACTGCTTCTCTGCCTGGAAGGCATCCAGAGGTCCCCCCACCCTGCCGCCGCCGCTGGGAGCTTTCGGAGCTCTCAAAGGGCTTCCTCTAATTTCGGGGGGAAAGCCCTTTGAGACCTCGGAAGGCAAATGTCGGCAGTCGGCAGTGGCTTCGAGGTCCTTCCGAAGCCACCGCCGACCTCTGACATTTTCCCCCAGAGCCCCACCCTGCCACCGCCTGGAGCCTTCGGAGCTCTCAAAGGGCTTCCTCCGATGTCGGGCGGAAAGCCCTGAAGCTAAGAAGGCAGGGAGAAAAGGTGGGAAATTCGAATTTCCCACCTTTTCTCCCTGCCTTCTTAGCTTCAGGGCTTTCCGCCCGACATCGGAGGAAGCCCTTTGAGAGCTCCCATGGTGGCAGAGAAGCCCTGCAAGGCATTCGGAGGTATGACCTACAGCCTACGGACTGGAAGGGGGAGGCAGGGAAAGCGCCAAATTTGAATTTGGCGCTTTCCCCGCCTCCCCTTCTGGTCCATAGATTGATTCTCCAGCCGCAATTCGAAGTGAAACTTTGCAGCCGGAGAAGTACGTAGGTCAAAAAGTACGTAAGTGGAGCCGATCCTAAGTTGAGACTCCACTGTAATAAAAAGGGGGGCAACAGAATCAAATTCAACAGGGATAAGTGCTAAGTTCTACACTGAGGAAAAATAAACCAAATGCACAGTTACAAGTTATGGGATACTTGGCTCAGCAATACTACAAGTCAGAAGTATCTTGGAATTGCTGTAGAATAGATCACAAGCTGAACCAAGAGTGCCATACAGCTGCAAAAAAAGAGGTGAATACTACTTTAAGCTGCAATAACGGAAGTATAGCCTCCAAATCCTGTGAAGTTCCCCTCTATTTGGTGATTGCCTCAGTGTGCCTCGTTATTAAAGTATCTAGGTTTGGAAATGGCCTAATCTCTCTCTTGACTTAAACTAGCCAGTTTTCCAGAAAGGAAAATATCCTTATTTATTTATTTATTGGACTTATATACCGCCCCATAGCGCTACAAGCACTCTCCGGGCGGTTTACAATTTTTAATTATACAGGCTACACATTGCCCCCCCAGCAAGCTGGGTACTCATTTTACCGACCTCGGAAGGATGGAAGGCTGAGTCAACCTTGAGCCGGCTACCTGGGATTTGAACCCCAGGTCGTGAGCACAGCTTTAGCTGCAGTACAGCGTTTTAACCACTGCGCCACGAGGCTCTTAGTCTGAATCTGAATGGAAGGAAACATCTCCCTGAAAAGGGGCAGTGGGATCTTTCTTCTTCTGCTGGGATAAGCAAGGATATCAAGGAAGACTTGTTAGCTGCAAAAAGTGCATCTAATATCTACCTAGAAAAAGTGAAGGCCACAAGATGATCTTACTTTGTTTCCTGGATAAGCAAAGCTCATAACCACCAAGCCGAATTTTTCTGTATTGTGCACGATTTATCCAGGACTGGTCACAGGGACAGGCCACCCAGTAGTATCTCCTGTGGCGAATTTGCAGCCTTCTTTTAAAATAAAGTGGAGACCATCCGCTGGGGGCTGGATTCCTCCTCTTTATCTGTAGATTGAGCTGAGACGTCTGCTGTTCCGCCTTGCATGGAGAACCTGATAGAATTTCAGCCTATGATGTCAGCTAAGGTTGACAGGGTGCTTGACCACTGTAGGGCCGCCACTTCTTCACTAGATCCTTGCCCAGCCTGGCTGCTGAAAATGGCCAGGCCTGTAACAGTAGATTGGGCTACTGCCATTGTCAATAGGTCTCTTCCTGAGGGCATTAGACCAATTCAGAAAAAGTCCAACTTGCTGGCAGATAACATAAACTATATGAGCAAGCTGGTGGAGAGAATGGTGGTGGATCAGCTTCAGGTGCTTCTGGAAGATACCAATGCCCTTGATCCATTCCAGTTGGGGTTCAGGACAATGCCACAGCACAGAGATGGCACTGGTCGCCATGCAAGATGACTTTTTGAGGGAGACAGATAGGGGCCTTGGTATCCTCCTGGGGACACTTTCTGGGTTGGGGATCAGAGGTCTGGCTCTGTTCCTTCCTGGAGGACCATCCTCAGAGTGCAGCTTGGGGAGATCTTGGGGAGATACTGTGGCATCAAAGACTAACACATTTGTTTCATGTGAGCTTTTGTGGATTAAAATCCACTTCCTCAGAGTATGCTTTTAAATGTGTTTTAGTATTGATTTTACCAGTCTTAACATACTTGTTTAATTCTTTTTGAAGATTTGTATACTGTTTTTAGCTTTTAAATATTGCCTTTTTAATAATGTAAGCTATATTGGAGAAAGGTGGAATAAACATATTTTCAATAAATTAAATTATACATATCCACATTGGTAGTGAAAGTTATAACCAGGTGGAGATCCAGTCTGGAAACTCTCACACACAAAAATGCTTAGTCTTTAAGATGCCACAGTATTTTGTACTCACACTTTTTTGCCCCATGTTGAAAAGGGCTAACACAACTACCTCTTTGAATATTGATATGTTTTTTTTAGTATGGTTACCTTTTTAATATGAAAAAAAAATACTTGTTTCAGCTTATATACTGCCCATTAGTGCTGTCTGGGTGGTTTACATAATTATGCAAGGAACACTTGCTATCTACAACTTCAGAGTTAGTTTAGGGGAAGTCTAGGATGCCTGGGAATTAGGGACATGGTGCTGCTGCGGGTTAAACCGCAGAAGCCTCTGTGCTGCAGGGTCAGAAGACCCGCAGTCGTAAGATCGAATCCACGTGGCAGAGTGAGCTCCTGTCACTTGTCCCAGTTCCTGCCAACCTCGCAGTTTGAAAGCATGGAAATGCGAGTAGATAGATACCACCTCGGTGGGAAGGTAACCGTGTTCTGTGTCTAGTCGCACTGGCCACGTGACCATGGAAACTGTCTTCGGACAAACACAGGCTCTATGGGTTGGAAATGGGGATGAGCACCGTGCCCTAGAGTCGGACATGACTGGACTAAATGTCAAGGGAAACCTTTACCTAGGATGCCTGGGGAGGTGGTTATAGCCCTGGAGCTTTGGAAGGTGCCCATCCCTGATGTTCTTGCTATCTGCTTGCCCTAGTGGATATGACAGAACTATGTGGTGAGGAAAGGGAATGTCTGATTATGTGAGTAAATTTCTACCATCGATCTTTTCAAAGCACCAATTTAACACTAACACTTACATGGGATTCCCAGAGGTTCGAATCCTTGCTCAGCCATGGAGAACTAGTAAAAATACTCCTTAAATATCTCACTTACCTTGGAAGCCCTATCACGTTTGCTATTAAGTTGGTTCTAACTTGGAACACACACAAAACACTCGTACACTATCTAATGAAGCTATTTTTTTGACAAAACATAAAAGGTTTAATTCAAATGACCTCTAAAGGCTTTTCGGAAGCCATCCTTTTTCTTTCTTTCTACTGGTATCAGTTTTACTTAAACTGTCAGCCACAAATGACCCCACACTGTGGGGAGAAGCACCCCCAATCTTCCTTCACATGCTTATTCAGAAGTAAATGTGAATGAGTTAATCAGAGTCCTGTGTTAGAAATACTGGTAATAGTCATATAAGATGTGCAAGCAGAAAAATTTTGAATTGACAAATCATGTATTAGTTTTAACTCTTCCAGGGCACAAATTAGATTTAAACAGTTATTGATCCTCCCCAACTTCTCTCAAAGTTGCTTAAATAGCCATATTAAATTTATTTGACTAAAATTTCTTGTAGTTTCAGAAATATGTTTCTCCCATTTTCTTTCATTATGTAAGTGTAGCATTACCAACTTTAATTTAATTTACTTTTTTTAGAAAAATAAGGAGCTAAAACAGTGCTTGTTAACTAGAGTGGGGTGCTATAATTCTAAGACAACAGGCAAGAGTGTATCAAATAGACAGCCCAAGATCAACACAAGTACACATGAATCCATCACTCAAAAGTATAAGTGGGGAAGGAAGCACTAACCCAACAATAATTTTTAGGAAAGGGTAACACCTTACAATGTTAGCTGTTCACCTAGAAATGTTAATTCTACTTTTCCTTCTGCAATTGGAACAATGGAATAAGGACGCAGAAAACATGGCAGGGCTATGTCATGTGAAGGGAAAGAACAAAGAACAGCTATTTTGGAGTAAACACCAAAGTAAAAAAATTAAGTGTGAAAGCACCCAGAAAGAAGACATTTCTAAAAAAAAAAATTGACTGAAGCACAATGTATACAACATAGTGCATAACAGAAGCAAACTACTTATTTACTTTTGATTGTGAAACAGATGATTTACATTGCTGTGGTTATAGAAATGTTCATCACAGAATACATATATATCAACCTATTATATTGAACAATGGACAAGAGAATTCTTAATGAGAAACCTTATTGTTTTTCCTTCTTGAGCTAAATTACATAAGGCTTTTCTGGTACCAAATTAACAATAGCTGTCTTTTTCAAAGTCACAGCAGCTTCTTTATTTTTTGCCACGATCATTCTCTGAATCCAGAAGTGCAGATCGAATTCCTAATTTCTTCAGCTCTTCCACTAAGTCTCCACTTTGATGCATCTGAAGAAGTATGTCACAGCCGCCGACAAATTCACCATTGAGGAAAACTTGAGGAATAGTAGGCCAGTTGGAATAATTTTTAATTCCTGAGTCAAAAAAAGATAAAAGCATGTTTAATTGAACAATTTCAAATATTATAGAAGTGTTTCTGAAACCCAAGACGGACTATATTAGAAAAAGAAATAAATATCCAAGCCATTTTGCAACTACAGTGGTTATAAATCTATATGTACTGTATTACCCTTGTCTCTCCCCTTCTTTATCCTGGAGTGGAAACCTTTCACTTCTGTTTCTAGTCTCTACAAAAGATTTGGACAAGAAAGAGAAGCCTTTGATGTGTTGTAGATCAGCAAGGATTTCTAACTCTTGATTGTTTAACAACAACAAAATAACCCTTATCCCACCCAAAACTATACTACTGTAATGAAGAAAAGCTGATGTAATGTGCAGCGGATTCTGGACAGGACTGCAAACTTTTCAATTCTGGTACTTTAAAATAAATTCCTGTCCTCAAAATACTTGAATCCTTAGAATCTGTGTTCTGCACTAGGCTCTGGTTGCTGGACCTTGGGTTTTTAGTGAGAAAATCAAAGCAACGTTTTATAAGTCAGATGTCTGCTAATTTATGCTGGAAAGTACCACTACCTATCTGTTCTCTAAAAATTAGCTTGAGGCTTTTTAAATGCTGGAACCCCTATCAGAATTATAGAAAGGTATGAAAAATCTCAAAATATTTCAGATCCTGTTCTTTTAGAAGTTAAATAGAATGAGAAAGGAAGGAAAAAAGGGACATAAAAGAACTGTGAATAATGCTCAGAACCACATAAGTGCATTTAGGAATCAAGCAAATAAGGAAGCACAAGTGCAGTTACTTAAGAACTTTAGGACACCAGGGAGTTGATCTCACTCCCAAAATCTTTTGGGGAAGTGAAACCCAGTACCAGCCTTTTATTGGGAGAAGTGGAGTCACCTCCTCTACCAGTTCTAGGGCATCTCTCAGGTGAGCCAGACATGGGGTGTCACAATACAGGGCTGTATGCAATCAGTTAGCTATCCCTGGAGGAGTGTAGCACAGTTCCTTTCCCTGCTATGTCACCACAGTTCCCATCGGCAGCTGATGCCCAATAGGTGTGGTAATCTTCTCAAGAGGAATGGCCAATCTCTACCCGGACCTGGCTGTCTTCACCAGTGGAGTATAACGTGGAAGGAGATGTAGGAGGAGCGCTGCTCAAGTGGCTGCAAGGGGGCTGGCTAGGAGGTGTCTGTTGTGGGGCCACTTGCCCCTGCTGCTTCCTCTACCAGTGATGTGCCCGCTTCTGGTTTTTGAGCCTACAGGCCTCATGGCACCTGATCTTGACTCAGGAAACTTGAGTTACAGTGGTGCCTCAACTTACAAATGTCCCGATTTACAACCATTTCGAATTATGACCAGCTCTGGCTGCAAAATTTTGTTTCTACTTGTGACCGGAGCTTCGAGTTACGACCAGAAAAAAAAGGTGGGGAAAAAGGCGGGGAATTTAAATTACTAACCATTGGTTGGCAAAGAGGCTGCTTCTTTGTAGCTCTTTCACCCCAACAGTTAGAGAGAGTGTGTCGGAGGAGGCTTCGGACTGCCTGGTGATGCTTTCTGCTTCTGAGTGAGTACATACAGGGTTTTGCAGGGTGGGTTTGGGCTGGGGGGATAATGTTTTTGTGCTGTGATTTTTTTGTGTGTTTTTGTGGGGGGCTTGTTTTGTTTTTGGTGTTTTTTCCCCCGGCCCGACGTGTTCCAATGGGGCTTGCATTTTTTTTGTTTTGTTTTTGATGACCCCCCCCCGGACCTCAACGCGTTCCAATGGGGCTTGCAGTTTTTGGTGTTTTTTTTTTTGTAATTTTCCCCTGTCTGGAATGGATTAATCGTGTTCCAATGCATTCCTATGGGAAATGGTGCTTCAGCTTACGAGCATTTAGAGTTACGACCATCTTCTGGAACGGATTAAGTTTGTAAATCGAGGCACCACTGTACTTCCTCAGGGGACATGGGAAACTCCTTCCAGCATCAAGATCCTGGCAGCAGATGATTTCCCAGCCAGCCATCAAGCACTCTAGCAATGACAGTACCTCTCAGGCCTCAAATGTCTCCAGTCCATGGCATCAGACCTTCTCTCCTGCTTCACTCTCCTCCTTAAGTCCCATTCCAGCCATTGCTACACCTGTGGCCTTGAGAGCATTGTCTGTGTCTCTGCCTCCAAAGCACCAGTCCACAGGTGAACTAGAGTTCAGAAATTTCTTCCTGGCTCTTGGGAAGGTGGAGAGTCCACTTTCACTGGTGAGGGAATCAGGGCAGTACCACACAACCCAATCTAGATACAAATTCCAGTACCAATTCCTTGCCAACAGATTTATAGTAGTAACATAAAACCATCTGATGAATACAGGAGAAGCACTTCTTGGGCCTAAGTTTAAACACTTTCACACTTGTTTAAAAACTGTGGCCAGAATCTATAGCCGATTTATACATGCATAAGGGAAACTGCTTTAAGTATTGGCAGAAATCTGCCACACATTAATGGGGTGTCCACTGTGTGCCTGGGTGTGTGATCAAAAATACAACTAACACCTCATTTAAGGACCAAGACTTAGTTTCTTTTATGTAAACATAAATCAGCAATTATATTCTGCCCTATATGCTACTGCTTATAGTAGCATGAAGAGCCTTTTGGTGCAGCAGTTAAACTGCTGAACTGCAGCCAAAACTGTGCTCACAACCCGGAGTTCCATCCCAGCTAGCCAGCTCAAGGTTCACTCAGCATTCTATCCTTCCAAGGTTGGTAAAAATGAGTACCCAGCTCACGGGGGGGGGGGGGGAAATGTGTAGCCTGCATAATTAACTTGTAAACCACCCAGAGAGTGCTTGAAGCGCTATGGCGTGGTATATAAGCAGCATGCTTTGCTCTTGCTTTTCTAAGTTTTATTCTTTCCAGCAGTGCATCTCTATTCAATGTCATTATCTTTTCTAACAGACACTGGAAGTTCAGGGAGTGGTGTAAACCACAAAAATGTTTTAGGTTAGTCTCATAACTAATTTCAAGAGCACTATTCTTAAAAATGTACAAGTTCAACAGAGGAAGTGAAAAAGTAATGCTATTCTACTTTTAACCACTCGAAAAGATAAAATTGAATACTACTTCAGAAACCAGGGCTAAGGTATTAAAATATGGTGTTGAAATAAATGCTTTTTACATATCCTACAAGTTTTGGATTTCATCTATGCAATAATTTCACGCTGAACACATTTTCTTGTACACATACAGATACACTCACATGTCCATAACACAGACTTAAATTGGATTTCCATTCTCGCCAAGCATGAGAGGAAGACAAGAAGGTTCCTAACTTTGAGAAAATTAGGCACCCCTTTATACTATGAGTACCTCTCTTGGAAGAGGAGACACCCCATGCTGGACCTATATGGGAAGGAAATGTTTTTATTATTGACAGGTGATCAATGGCACAGCCTCAAAGGAAGGATAGTTACTCAAGTAACATTTACTCAATGCATAGAGATAGTTCGGCCTTGATTTGATATAGGACTCACTTGCTCATCTTTCTGGTAGTCCACAAAGACAAGAGAAAAATTGGGGAGAAACACCGACCACTGCTGCTTGAAGGCAGGCCACCTTCTGTAGCAGCCCCAGCATCACACAATCCCCACCATTCCCAACAGAAATTGCCAGGGAAGAGCTAGCGATAACGATCTTTGGTTAGTGAGATCAACGTCAAAAACTGTTGATCTTTATTCAATCACCATTTTCCAGCCCGATTTACTTCATAAGATTTCGTGAGAAGTCATAACACGTAGGGCAGAGCGCACGTTGGATGAAAAACAAACTCAAGTAAACGACCCTGAACATTTCGTGCAAGAAAACAAGAGTTAGAGAAAAGAGAGAAATGAAGTGTTTTAAGCGGATGGCGGATAATGATTTATGTCGAGGGCCCAGTTTCTCGAGGGAGGGCAGTTGACCCACCCACCCTCCCAGCGTGTACCTTGCCGGAGTTTGGAGTCCTGAAGGACGTCGTAGGCGCGATAATCATTGACGCCGTGGAGGCGCAGAATCTGCACCACTGCATTGCTGAAACCACACTGGGGCTGGTCTGGGCTACCCTTCATAAAAACCACCACCGGGTGGGCGCGCACCAACTGCTCCACTGCTTCCTTCGACCCACTATTCGAACTATCTCCCTCGTTGCTGGAACCAACTCCACCTTGACTCAGGGGCCTGACGAAAGGCCTCCAGGGTTGTGAGCCGCCCAACATCCGCAGGGATGCAACTAAACGGCAAAATGACCCACTCATGGCCGTCACAGTCACCACTTCGTCCTCGTCTTTTCCGACAATCTTCGCATACGACTCACATTCCTCCCCCCCCTCCCGTGTAGCTCTATCAGAGGTGCATATAGCTATCAATCACCCTTAAGTTACCAGCAGTAGAGTCTAGAGAGCCACTCCCCTAGCCAATCAGGAAAGGCAAATTCAATAGCTGGATTCTGATTAGTTAACCAGTAGCCAATTCCAGGGAAGAGCTTCAGGCCTTTAAAGAAGGCTTTCCTTCATTGGTGAATAAGCTCTGAGGGTTTTTTTCGTAGTATCGGTGTCGGAAATGGTGAGTTGTTACAGGCTGTTCAAGTCCTGAAGTCACGAGGTATACATGTGGTTCTTACAATGTTATTAAAAATGGTGGTGGTGGTGGTTAGAATAACCCTTCTGCACCGGTATATTGATAAACGGTTTTGTAGGAGAACTGGATGCTGGTGTTGCTGCCGGCTGAGTATGCAAATAATAAAACAGATGAAGGACACATAGCGAATGTGGATGGTATGAAATAATCGTAGTAATATTTAGCATTTCTGTAGATCTTTTAAGTGATCTGTGTTCCAATAACGTCCTTTATGTCATTTTAATATTACAATAAGGATGTAAGGTAAATAAATACTGTTTCCTATCATGTGAATGCCGGGCGGGCGGGCTCGCTCAGCGAGGCTACAGTTTGACTGCAGAAGCACGATTAGTTAGGGGCAGGTGACGGGACGAGCTTGAGTTGCAGTTCAGCTGTAGTTTTGTGCCCACGCACTTGGGAATAAGACCCAGTAAGTTCAATGCGGTTTGTTTCTTGTTTCTGAATGTCGTGTTTAAACTGTACTAAGCTGTAAATTTCTCAGCTGCAACCTTAAACTGCCTCACAAAAAAAACGATTGTTTAGCCCTCATGTTGCTGCATATTGCTCCCTCAGTTGAGCGGTTGTCTCTCACTGTTGCCTTGTAGTTCGAAAACTGCAGCATTCCGAGGAATGTTTCATCTGTTGAATGTTTGCTTTTTACGTATTTAATTTATTTAAAATATTTATCTGCCACTTCCAGACAAAGCTTCTCAAAGGTAATTTGAAATGTTAGAACTCACTTTAAAGTCCTTCAGTGTGTCTTAGGGTATGATCAGATTGGCAGCTGTCAGATGCCTGTTTGGTCGGGGTTGGAGACTGACCTTTTTCTGGTGATCACATGATGTGTCCTTGTGAATGAGACTGCCCAGATGAATGCCCACCCACACCTTTTGGGGTCCTTGTCATAGAATTATATCATAGAATCAGAATCGTCGGAGGGTTGGAAGGACCCTTGGATATCATCTAGTCCAGTGGTTCTTAACCTTTGTTACTTGGATGCTTTTGAACTGCAACTCCCAGAAACCCCAGTCAGGACAGCTGGTGGTGAAGGCTTCTGGGAGTTGCAGTCCAAAACTCCTGAGTAACCCAAGGTTAAGAACCAGTGATCTAGTCCAACCCCCTGCCAAAGGCAGGAGACGTCACACCATCCCGGACAGATGTCTGTCCAATCTATTCTAGAAATCCTCCAGTGATGGGGCACCCCCAACATTGGGAGGCAAACTGTTCCACTGCTTAATGGTTCTCACAGTCAGGAAATTCCTCCTTATTTCCAGATTGGATTTCCCTCTGACGATTTTCCACCCATTGGTTCTTGTCCTACCCTCAGGTGCAATGGAGAATAAATCGATGCCCTCTTCCCTGTGGCAACCCTTCAGATATTGGAAGAGCGCTATCATGACTCTCCTTAGTCTTCTCTTCATTAAACTAAATATACCTAGTTCTTTTAGTCATTCTTCATAGGATTTAGCCTCCAGTCGCCTTATCATCTTTGTTGCTCTTCTCTGCACCCCTTCCAGGGCCTCAGTGTCTTTTTTGTAGTATGGTGACCAGAACTATTAGGTTATATTAGTTTACCTCTGAAAATTGTGTCTGTATTTTGGTTCTACAATTATATGATTCTGTTAATAAAACCAAAATTCAGAAGAGCTGGAGAGGGAAATATATGTGAAATATCAAGATATCTTATCTTTTCTGCACCTAAAAAAACCAACAACCATTTCTCCAGTTTTAAAAGTATTGTTTTACAAACCTCTAGTTTCATGCAAAGTATGCAAGTAGCTAACTTTTTGATAGCCATCTAAACATTTGTAGTGGCAGAAGGTGGATAACCCACAAATTCTTAGACATTTTCTATTGTTATAATTTCAGAATAATAATAACCTGAAAGATTTATAGGGAAAAAGAAGAAAATATCTTATATAATAAAGTTCAGTGCTCTTTGGATGAAAAAGTCTTCCTATTTCAGTTTAAGTTCAAAAGATATTCCTTCTGACAGAATACTGAAACAATAGTACTACAAAGTAAAAAGCTGTATTTTGAGATTTTTGCTAATAAAAGAAAATGGACCACCACTATGTAAAGAAGAATTTTGAAATGAAGTGCAAAACAATGTAGTAATAACTAGAAGCCAATGTGGATTTGTCAAGAACAAATATTGTCAGACTAATCTGATCTCATTTTTTGATCTAATACTGCCCAATAGACAGAGGGCATGCTGTAAACATAGTATATCTTGATGGGGTTTGTAGCCCCCTTTGTATATAGCAGAGTGCACAATGGCAGAGACTTAATTTGAATAAAGTTATTTATTTTACAAAAGCATGATTCATATTTAATTCATGTGAGTTAAATACTTGTAGTTCAAAAGGTATAACAGCTTTTCATTGCTTATTACTTGCTTTTAAATTAATTGCTTGTAGCCTCTGTAATTTCAGGGTTCATCAGTCCTTTAACAGTTTCTTTTCTGTTTTCTCTCACCTATGAGGAAATATCCATGCAGACTCCTTCACTTCACCTGGCGGTATATTTCATTCTGTTGCTTCATTCTGCAGCTCCATCTTCTGCAGCTTCCTTCCTTCCTTCTTCCTCTTTCCTGCCAGTCTGCTTCTTCTGCTGCTCATGCTTTCACTCACACATACACATGCTTTGCTGCCGCCACCTTTATACTGATCTTACTCAGAGGCATTCAGCGTTTCTCAAGGTCAATCAACTCATCAATCTCTCCTGCCTTTCTTTCCCTCTTGTAACTTTACTGAGCAGAAATGCTTTTTGTAAAATATAACCCCAACATATCTTGACTTCAGCAAAGCTTTTGATGAAGCTTTTGCTCCAACACTGGAGGTATCCAAGAGAAATTTAGACAACCATCTGGCAGAAATCCTTTGATTTGTATTCCTGCACGGAGCAGCGGCTTGGACTTGATGGCCTTATAGGCCCCTTCCAACTTTATTATTCTGATTCTAAACATTCAGTAAATGTGAACAAGATTTAAGTGGGGCTGGTTTTCAGGAGCCTCAGAGGATTTATTGATGGCATATAGTAGATTATTTAGGGAAAAAGTTGTTTTCATGGACTTTACCTTTCAAAACCACTTATTGTTTGACATTGTTTTAAACTTTGTGAGTAAAATACAGCAGTCCCTTGTGTAGACATCAGTGTCTACACTGTGTATTAAAATGTGTACTAAAATGTGATGCTGTATTGTGAAGTAATATTCAGAGGGCTGTCCTCTGAAGATGCCGGCCACAGAGACTGGTGAAACGTTAAGAAAAACAACCTTCAGAACACGGCCAAAGAGGCCGAAAAACCCACAACAACCATTAGATCCCCGCCTTGAAAGCCTTCACGAATACATTAATATTCAAGAGTTCCTATAGAGAAAATACAGACTGGAGCTGGAAAATTATCTCTCTGACTTGACCTTTAGCATTTTAACAAATAGTGGGCCAAATGTAGTCCATAGACCTTGTGCAACCCCAGCTACAGGGCCCTGTATGTCCCTCACAACAAAATAAGTCATCCTTAAAAAGCAAATACATTTGAAAGCATAGTAGGTGTTGTTGGCCAGTAAATTTCATTTTGGCTTCTTATTGCCTATTTCAGACTTGAAATAGTCTTATAAAGAAAAGAAACGAAACTGGAAATGACTGTCATTTCTTGTTCCAGATAAGGTCTTTTTTGACCAAAAAAAGGCTAGGAGAGAGAGAAATAATTTTAAAATGACAAATTGTACCTCCTTAACACAAGGCTTTGGGGAGATAGTTTGCCATTTTTGAGGGAGAATGTTTTTCCCCAATTGTTTGGGAGAACAGGAACAGCCATCCTCTAATGTTGTCTATCCTGCTTCAATAAATTTAAATGAGATAGAAGATCTAATGTGCATGATTTTAGATTTCTGCCTATCTGTCAAAATATTTCAGAGATTTGCGGGTTTTTTAAAGCTTAACTGGCAAAATGAAACTTTCTTGTTTCCTACTTTGTCTAAACTCGTTGCTTATGATTTTAAGTAACAGGAAGAGAATAATCCAAAGAGATATGATGAGCCTAGGGAAATTGCATCTGGAATTGAACAAATATATTTTTCTGTGTATCTGCAGTGCTGCTGAATGTCTTTTTTGTTTTGGACAAGGATACTTAGAAACGTCATCAGTCAGACTTTTAGCTTTTAATTCTTACCAATTTCGTACACTAAAGGCAGGTGCTATCCCCACAGATAATTTACTGCTCTTTGTGTACCATGCAACAAAGTTATCTTCTCTTTTTTGACAGTGGAGAAACATTATGTTGAAACAAGACAGTTGTGAAATGATGAACATGTCCAAGATAATATATGAAACTAGTTACTTCAGTCTTAACCTTATAAATGGAGCATGGCCAGTTTGTTTGTTCAAAATAGCAACATTGGTCAGTGACCTGGGTGCATAAATGGAGTAGAAGATAGGAATACATTTTAATTTTGTAAAAAATGCAAATATATCCCATCCTGCTTAATATTGATAGGAATGTCATTAGCTAAATTTGATGAAACTGGGAGTTGTGTTGTTGTACACAATAAAATGGGACTAGTCAGGAAAGACCAGAATCTGAATGCTTATGACAGCTAAATAGAATCCTGTGGTTCAGAGACTATAGTTCTCTGAACACCAGTTACTGAGAACAACATGGGGTAGAGGGATGGGGATGGTGAAAAAGTCTGTTGCCTTAATATATTTCTGTGGTATTTTATGGAGAAT